ATCCCTATAAGGATACCCATGACATTTCTTTAAAGAAATGGATCAAAGACTCCTGAAATTCATATGAAACAACAAACCCCCACGAATAACTAAAGCAATTCTTGGGAAAAAGAAGATGGAGGCATAACCTTCCCCAACCCTAAACTCTGCTAAAAAGTGGTTATAATTAAAATAGCTTTGTATTGGAACAAAAGCAGAGCTGAAGACCAATAGAACAGGTTGGAATATACTTACAGACACCCTGAAATATACAATCATTTTTATCATTGATAAGGAAACAAGAATTGTGAAGTGGAGCAAGGAAAGTCTCTTTAACAAATGGGACCAGCAAAACTGAATAGCTGCAAGCATAAAATGGACTCAGACCTCTACCTAACACCATGCACAAAAGTCAGATCAAAATGGAGTAAAGACCTCAACATCAGACCAGAGTTCATCAGGTACATTGAAGATATGATTGGCAAAACCTTCCACAACATTGAAGCTAAATGTATCTTTAAAGAGGACACTCCACTGGCCAAAAAAGTGGAAACAGAGATAAAAAGATGTTAAACCCTCAAAACTGAGAAGCATCTGCACCTCAAAAGGCACAGTGAACAGTATTCAAAGACAATCTACAGAATGGGAAATGATATTTACCTGATATCCATGAAATAAGGGGTTGGTATCAAGGATTTACAAGGCACTGGTTGAACTCTACCAGAAGAAAACATCCAATCTCATTAGAAAATAGGGCAATGGAATGAACAGAAACTTTCTCAAAGAAATCCAAATTGCCAAAAGGCACACGAAAAATTCTCTTCATCACTAAATATCAGGGAGATGCAGGTCAAAACAACAATGAGATAACATCTCACAACACAGAGACTGGCCCACATCCAAAAGAATAAAAGCAAACCTGTGTTGGCGTGGATGTGGGGAGGAAGGGGACTCTCCTTCACTGCTGGTCAGAATGCCGACTGATTCAGCCCTTTTGTAAAAAAATATAGAGGATTCTCAAAAAATTAGAAATTGAGCTCGCATCTGACCCAGCAATACCACTTCTGGGAATACATCCTGTAGATCCAAAAAAGTAGAGTGGAAATGACATCTGCTCTTGTATGTTCATTGCAGTACTGTTTACAATAGCCAGAGTTTGGAAAAAACCCAAGTGCTCGAGAACAGATGACTCACTAAAGAAACTGGAACATCTACATAATGGAATACTACGCAGCTGTTAGAAAAGATGAAATCATGAAATTTGCATATTGGTGGATCAACATGGAAAGTGTCATGTTAAATGAAATGAGTAGAAAGTGAGGTACAGACATAGCAAGATTGTACTTATCTGTGAAATATAAAGCAACAGAATGGGAGACTAACACCCAAAAATAGTAGAGATAAATACCAGGAGGATTATCCCGCAGTTTAGAAGCTGGACTCACATTCTGGGGAAAAAGGCAGTTCAGATTGAGAAGGGATCACCAAGTAAAGGGTGCTAGGAGGATACGCTCCAGATGGAAGATGTAAGCTGAAAGTAGACTATAGACTAAACATATAGAGGCCACTTAATACCTCTATTTCAAAGCAGAACACCCAAAAGGAGAGAGAGAGAGAGAGAGAGAGAGAGAGAGAGAGAGAGAGAGAGAGAGAGCAAAAGGTAATGCCCCACCACAGAGGTGGGGTGGGGGAAGGGATGGGGGTGGTGAGAGGGATTCTGGGAACATTTATGGTGGAAACTGGGCACTGGTGGAGGGATGGATACTCAACTATTGTATGACTGAAATGCAAGCATGGATGTTTGTAAGTCTGTAATTGTACCTTACGGTGATTCACTGTCACTGTCACTGTCCTCCCGTTGTTCATTGATTTACTCAAGTGGTCCGGTAACATCTCCATCGTGAGAATTTGTTGTTACTGCGTTTGGCATAGCGAATATGCCATGGGTAGCTTGCCAGGCTTTGCCGTGGGAGTGAGATACTCTCGGTAGTGTGCCGGGCTCTCCGAGAGGGGCAGAGGAATAGAACTCAGGTCGACCATGTTGGCTGCGTGCAAGGCAAATGCCCTACCCACTGTGCTATTGCTTCAGCCCACAGTGATTCACTAAGTAAAGTAAAGGCCCTCCCGTTGATCATCGATTTACTCGAGTGGGCCCGGTAACGTCTCCATTGGAGACTTTGTTGTTACTGTGTTTGGCATATTGAATACGTCACGGGGAGCTTGCCAGGCTCTGCCGTGCGGGCGAGATACTCTCGGTAGCTTGCCAGGCTCTCCAAGAGGGGCGGAGGAATCAAACTCTGGTCAGCCATGTTGGCTGAGTGCAAGGCAAACGCCCTACCGCTGTGCTATCGCTCCACTTTTTTTTATTAGTGATTCACTAATTAAAAAAAAAAGAAAAAAGAAAATATAGAACATGAATGTGAATTTTTATCATTAAAATCGAGTATTTTCAATTTATACTTCCACTAAAATAATATTTTACAACATTTAGAAAGAGATTTTATGCTAATGTCTACTAAGAGAAAATAGTTGACAAAATCACAATCACGACCATCTTGTTGTTAGTCGATTGCCTCGAGCAGGCTGCAGTAACATCTCCTTCGTCCTAGCCCTGAGATTTTTTAAAAAGTGCCATATTAAAAGCTCTTCCAGGGTTAGGAGAATGACACCCATCATTGTTACTGGTATTTGGCATATTGGGTACACCACAGGGAGTTTGCCAGACTTTGCAGTGTGGGCAGGTTACATTCAGTAGCCTGCGAGAGTTGACAAAATAGTTTGTTATTTATTTTTGCATATTTAGTGATAAGATTTCCCATTCTAAAGCTAGAGGTATTGTGAAAAAATGATTTGATGATTAATATAAGAATAATTTTATAATTTATGAATTTACTAATAATATTCTCTATCATTTTTCTGGGCTGCAGCAACAGCACAGAGGGTAGGGTGTTTGCCTTGCACGTGGCTGACCTGAGTTCGATTCCTCCGCCCATCTGAGAGAGCCCGGCAAGATACCAAGAGTATCTCGCCCACACAGCAAAGCCTGGCAAACTACCCGTGACATATTTGATATGCCAAACACAGTATCAAGTCTTACAATGTTACTGGGCCCGCTGGAGCAAATTGATGAACAACGGGAGGACGGTGAAAGTGAAAGTGACCATTTTTCTACAAAATAATAGAATTATTTGTAACTTACTTAAATGTATTCATTCATTCATTCATTCATCATCCTGTTAATCGTCGATTGCGTCGAGCAGGCCCCAGTAACGTCTCTTTCATCCTAGCCCTGAGATTATATTCAAGGCTTTTTAGGAGAATGAGACCCATCATTGTTACTGGTATTTGGCATATTTGGTGCGCCACGGGGAGTTTGCCAGACTCTGCCCTGTGGGCAGGCTATATTCAATAGCCTGCAAGTTTCTCTAGAGTAGGAATGAGATAATGAGATATCATAAAAAGATGTTCTGATAAGATGTCGCGCGGCCGCATTCGAGGCCGCGCGGTTCCGGGAGCTGCATTTTGTAGTCTCTGAGTCTTGGCCGCTGATGGGATTACACGGCGCCAGGGGGCCAGGTGGTGGGTGTGACCCCCGCCTACTGGAATTTGGAGGATCTGGGTGGAGGATGCTCGACTCCAATTCGAGTAGGCTTGGAGATCTCGGCCCCGGAACCCGCGTGGCTTTGTCCCTCTGCCAGTACCTTCATGTGTGCGGAGAGTGGTCTCAGCATGGTGGTGGCTGGTCCTGGAGGTCTTCGGCTGCCGGAGCCCTGGTCGGGGTGGGGAGGAAAGCTCAACCCGCTCCCCTCCAAGGGACCCCGGCGAGGAACAGCCAGGCGCAGGGGCAGGAGACTGACTGCACTGGTCTCGTCCGGGAGCTGCATTTTGTAGTCTCTGAGTCTTGGCCGCTGATGGGATTACACGGCGCCAGGGGGCCAGGTGGTGGGTGTGACCCCCGCCTACTGGAATTTGGAGGATCTGGGTGGAGGATGCTCGACTCCAATTCGAGTAGGCTTATTTTGCATAAACTCTGAAAATTTCAAATTTCCATTTAATATAATTTATAACTTCATAAATCCTTTATTTCTGTGACTTCCTGTTTCTTTGGAAATTTTAAAATAAGTTGACTTACTTGAATTCGTTGGAAATTTTAAAATAAGTTGACTTACTTGAATTCGTTTTAAATTTCTACATCAGAATTAATAAAAGAACCGTTGACAAATAGAATACTTATATTAGCTTAATATTAAAATGGTTTGCATCTTAAAGTGGTTTTTTTAAGACTTTAATGTTAAGGCATTGAAATTATGGAGAGTATTATGCTGAGTGAAATTAGTCGGAAGGGCAAGGACAGGCATACAATGATTGCACTCATTTATGGAATAATAAAAAAAACACAGTATGAGACTAATACCAAGCACAGGAGAAACAAGGCAAGGAGGATTAGTAGATGGTTTGAAGCCTGCCTCAAGTACTTGGGGAGAAGGCAGTTGGGATAGAGAAGGCACCATTATGACAACGGAAGTTGGAAATGACCACTCTGGGTGAGAACTGCGTGCTGATGACCTCTGAGTAGCTGTATTGCAAACATAAAAAGAATGTGTGTGACAGAGAATGAGAGAAAGAGCAAGTAACAGAGAGAGAGAGAGAGAGAGAGAGAGAGAGAGAGAGAGAGAGAGAGAGAGAGAGAGAAGGAAAGTGCTTGCCATAGAGTCATAGAGGCAGGTTGGGGAAGGGGTGAGGCTGATGATGGCAGGAGTGAAACTGGTGTCATTGATGCTGGGAAATGGAGGCTGGTGGAGGAATGGTGCTTGGATCATTATATGACTGCCACCCCATCATGAACAGCTTTGTAACTGCGTATCTCATAGCAACTGAATAAAAATATATAATAATAAATTTTAAAAAGGCATTGAAAATTTCACATTTCTATTATATTAAGTATAGTATAATGTGATGTAGTCACACTTTTATGATTCTTACCAACACTAACACTAACACAATTCTTTTTGTTTTTTTAGGATGTGCAATACATAGCCATTGATTATATGGAAAGGTGATTAGAATTTACAATTGGTAAAGAATTTCAAGATCTTCCTCAGTTTATTGACATAATAAGAAGTGAAGGAATGAGGAATATTATTGTTCTGGTTATACATTATGAATCGTACTATTGGTTTTGTTAATATATATCTCCCCCCATTACCTCCACTACCTCCACTACCTAGCCGCCACCAAGCTCCAGGTCACTTTCCGGATGCTCAGGCCGAGACACACGCAAGAGTGAAGCACCACAGAAAGAGGTAAGCGGAACTTTGTGACCTTGGACTTCAGGCTTAACTGGACCCAAAACAGAAATCATCTGCCTGCTCCCACCAATCTCCGGCGACTTAACTGTGTTCAGATGTGACTCTTGGCACTGTGCTGAGTGATCACTTATGGCAGGGCTGGCAGGGGTCATATCTGGTGGAAGGGTCACCAGTTGGCTGCGTGGAAGGCAAGTGCCTTACCTATTGGACTATCTTTTCAGCATCCCCTTGTTCCTACATCTTAATATTTATTAAAAATTACTGTAATTAATAATAATATGATAACATAAAAACACGGTGATATTGTTGTACCTGGCATATAATGTGGATAATTTAGTTTTTCACTTTTGCATTTATTAGTAACTGTTCCATATACAAAACTTGATGGCTCATTCATATCCTTTAATGAACAAAATATTAAATAAAAAAACAAATTATAGCACATGTGTTGAAAGGAAAAAAAGGAAAAAATTAAAACTTAAGCTTTCATTTTATTCAAGCTCATTGTAGAAGAGGTGTGATATGATGTCCAGGTCTTATAACTAGTTAACATCAATTTTTTCAAAATTTATTAATGATTATTTTTGAATCATAAGAACTGTAAGAACCAACATTTACTAAACATATTTGGCAATCTATGGCAAATCTACTTTAGTCCAGGCAAGTGAATTTCAGGTATTTACTAACATTAATAAATTGAGACAAACACCAAAAAGCAATTCTCACAAATACTTTATTATAATAATAAGAATTTGGCATAGTCACTACCTCATAAATAACTTAAAAGATAACCTGCCCAAAATTTACGCACAATTCATAAGCCATCAAATTTCATACATGTATTGTAAAAATCCATAATTTATGTTTCCTACCACTCGGCTGTAGAATTCTTTAAAAAATATGGAAAAGCTACATAACTGTGCTCATAACTCATAACTGTGCTCATAACTGTGCTCATAACAAAGCTACATAACTGTGCTACATAAGAGAGCAAAAGGAATGCCCTTCCACAGAGGCAGGGTGGGTGGGAGGGATGGGGTGGGCATGGTGGGAGGGATCCTGGGATTATGGTCGTGGAGAATGGTGGAGGGATGGGTACTTGATCACTGATGACTGAAACGTAAGCACGAAAGTTTCTGTAACTGTACCTCACAGTGATTCATTTAAAAATTAAAAATTAAAAAAAATTTAAAAATTAAAATAATTTCAGAGTAGGTAATATTGATAATGAACCTGTTGTGTATATATATTTTTGAGTTATTATGTTTTCAGTGTAATGCTAAATAAGTCAGAAGGAAAAATACAAATATTTCATTGTGTGTCATATATAATGAAAAAAAGCAAGAAAATAGAGAATGTCCTGTGAAACATGTACTTCTTACAACAGAAATAAGGTGGGTGTGGAAGAGAGGATATCATATATTGTGGTGGATAATTAATATTTTTGTGGTGAATGTGATGAGGTAACATACACTTAAATCGTATACCACTTACACTCTTATAATGCTCACTTATATCACTTGTTTCACTTGTCATCCCAATGCTCATCAATTCACTCGAGTGGGCACCAGTAATGTCTCCATTTATACCTGTCCTGTGCTAGTGTAGCCCAATGGCGTCTGCTCCCTCCAGGAACATGAAGAGATTCAAACCATTCATTCAGGATTTTCACGAAGTCTGACTATCTTGTAGTTGGGCAGCCAGTTCGAGGATCAGAAATGAGACAGCATCCCTGATCCTCAATCGTCAATGGAGGTTGGAACTCCGGATTCCTTCTCTCACTTGAGTGAAGTGTGATATTCCAAGCATAGCTCTTTCAGTTACTCTTTGGGGATACTCAGAGCATTCTCATCCTGGGTCTCTGAGATGTATATTAGTGCAGGAAGAAAGGTGGAGTTGAAAAGATGTGCCAGAGTTGGAGATTCTTCCTCTTCTTAACCACTTCTTTGACACTCTTGAAGGCATCCCACACCACTAACTTATTCCTGCGCAGTTCAGATGCCAGGTCGTTCATCATGTTGAGTTCTCGACCTAGGTACACATAACTGCTGCCTTCAGAGATGATGGTTCCACTGAGATCAAATGGTATGTCAGGAACTAGTCCATTTCTCATGAACATTGTCTTTGTGAGATTCAGTTGCGTTCCGACCTTTCCACACTCATGGTTGAAGTCGGCCAGCATTCGTGCCACATGGCGGATATTTGGTGTTATTAGAACGATGTCAACAGCAAAGCAGAGGTGATGTAGTTGCTGACCATCTATCTTCACTCCCATTCCTTCCCATTCCAGTCATCACTCCCGAGGATGGTACTGAAGAGTTTTGGTTAAGTGGTATTGCCCTGCCGAACCCCTCTCTTCACATCAATGATCACTTCCTTGTAGAATGGTGAGATCCTGGTGTTGAATTTGTAGTACAGCTTATGGAGGATCTTGATGTACTGACTTTGAACTCCCTGTTTAGCTAGGCCTTCGATGACCATTTCAGTCCCAACAGAATCAAAGGCCTTCTTTAAATCGATGAACATTAGACAGAGCAGCATCTTTAACTCTCATGAAACCTCAATGAGTTTGGTCACTGTGTAGATATGGACGATCATGCTGAATCCTTTTCAGAACCCAGCTTGCTATAATGGTTGACCTATACCTAGTATTCTGCCAATCCTATTCAGGATGACTCGAGTGAATAACTTGTAGATGACAAACAACAGGCAGATCAGGCGATAGTTGCCAATGTTGTGGATGTCTTCCTTCTTGTACAACAGAGTGATCTTCATGGTTTTCCATTGGGACGGAACTTTGTGTTCAGACAGGTAGTGTGTGAAGAGCTGAGCCAGTGTATTGATGAGTACTGATGGCAGGTTCTTCAGGTGTTCAGGTCTGACCTTGTCTGGGCTGGGTGCTATTTGCTTCTTAACCGACAAAATGGTGTGTCGGATTTCGGAAGGAAGAATGCTGGGAATGACATATGCATCCTGTGGAATTTGGTATGTGGGCCGGTGGACATGGCTATCTAAAAGATCCAAGTAGAAGTCATGGATAACCTTTTCCCTTGTCCTTCTTGAAGATATGATAGATCCGTCAGGATGTTAGAGGGCAGTGATCTTGGTCTTATAGTTAGCAAAAGACAAGTGGGCATTTGCAAATACTTTTCCCGGCTTCTCCCATATCAGCCAACAGTGCTGCTCTTCTCTCTTTTAGGTCTTCCTTTATTGCTTCTCTGCATAGCTATGTGAGCTTGGACATTGCCTTGTTATTGCCTGAGGCTTGCGCCAAGCCAGGTTGGCAAATGAGGTCGAGAGTTTATGAAGACAGGCATCTTTTTGTGGCTTTCTCTCTCGGCATTACTCACACAATCATGGAGGTACTGAACCAGTTGATCATATTCTTTGTCAATATTGTCAATGACAACATCTTCCCATATTGCCGCAATAGTGCCAAGGAGTTACCAGTTGGTAGTCGTTCTGGGAATTCCCTTCTTAAACTTTGCAGCCCTTTCTCCCTTCTCTGTGAAGTAGAATTTTGCTCCAAGGAGACAGTGGTCTCATCCCATTTGGAATTTTGGGACAACAGCAACATTGGACAGGCAAAACCATCGATTGAATATGAGGTGGTCAATTTTGTTGTCGAACTGTCCCCCGGGAAACTCCCATGTCCAATGTTTAGATTAGGCCTTCTAGAATTGTGAGTTACCATGGATGGTCTTGGTCGACATGATGAACTCAGACAGTCTCTCACCCTGTTCTTTTCATTCTAGGTCATGGAATTCGATGTGGAGTTCTTTGGGCAACCTTCTCAGTCTTAGTTTGGTGTTAAAATCACAGACAATGATCTTGTGCAAGGTGTGGTCTTCTTTATAGAACTTCTTCAGCTCCCTATAGAGCTTCTCAATTTCTTCTTCACCGTAATTGGATGTTGGTGCGTAGATAGAAACTGCAGGCAATGATTCACATCTATTCAAACATAATTACCCTATTCGGGTTGTTACACATGCAAATGAATCAATGCTCATGGCCAAGGTCCTGTTGAGGAGGACACTGACACCACCGAAAACTCTAATGTCGCATGTTCTGAGGTACAGTTCTTCTCCAGTGTCGAAAACGGCATTATGTAATCAATACCTTCTCTTCTTGGTCAATCCAATTATGTCGTACTTGGTCTTTTGCGTTTGCACCATCAGGTCCCCATGATGCCAGTGTACGTGTATTAAAATTGCACATAGTCATTTTAGTCCTTCTTAGTTTTGGCAGCCTAGTTCAGCCCTGAGATTTTAGCAGCCTCTCCTTGTTTGTCCTTCTTGATGCTGCCGTATTGGGGATTCTTCCATGGTCAGGAGAATGAGGTCCATTTTTATTACTGTTTTGGCATATTGAATACCCCACGGGTAGCTTGCCAGGCTCTGCCATGCAGGTGGCATGTTGTAATGATCTGCATGCTGACAAACACACCACACACCTTGTGCATGAATGTGCTGCTCACATTTCGAAAGTACTGGCCATATCGACACTGTCAATGCAAATAGTCCAGCCCTGCACCTGCCTGCATCTCCTGACAGCACCTGTTGGTTCGCTCTTCACCAATTGGCACTGTTGCCAATCCCTTGCCATGATAAGGCAATGAACCATTGAGGTTGGTGGACCTTTCTAGTCCACACTTATCTACCCTTTTAATGTTACCACAATAAATTGATTTTAATAAAAAGAATATCAGTAATATTGTCTCAGTCAAACAGGTTTATCTTATTCTCAACCTTTGACAAGTTATAGTAAGTGAATTATTTAAACATTTTCATTTTAGAGTAAGTAGGTTACTTAAGAAATCACTGTCTGAGGGATTGCAGGATAGCTCATTTGTAAAGCACATGCCAAGTAAGACCCGTGTTTCAGTGTGGCACTGAATGGCCTACTGAGCTCTGTCAAGTCTACCTCCATTTCCTCTTAATATAGGCCAAGTGATAGCTGAATAGCACCAGTCCGAATTCTACACCGGGTAAACTGGCACTGAACCCCCATGCCCACCCCATTTGGCTAAGCACTTCCTACAGGAATAGTCCCTGCAAAAGATAAAATAAAATAACTGCATGAATGAATAGCCCCAAGTGTCTTTATCAAATTCCAGTGTGGAAACACTAAAAAAAGTATGCAACTTAAAATAAATTTAATGGAAATATTTTCATTCAGAGATCACAGTAAATTAAAAGTCTAGGATATATAAAGGATCTAGAGAGTTTCCTTAAACATTTTTAATATGTAGTAAATTAGATGAGTCATTGTTATCACAATGAAACTATGTAAACGTAAATTAATATATTCAAGGAAGATGTAAATAAATGTCTCAATAATTTCATGCAAATTTATTTCAGAATTTTAATGCACATTAAAACTTTTAAATAATGGTGTTAATAAAATATTGATATAATTTTCAGAAGAAGGTGCACATTTTTCTCAAAATGCATATTTTTAGTCTGATGAGATCCTACCATTTTCCAACTCAAAGTATGTATGTGACAAATGGATGTGTTCAAATAGACCCTAAAGTCCAGATATGTTTTTTCATTTCTTTATTTTCTGTCAAATATAACAACATGTAAATATATTTTAAAGTTGTCTCCCTGAAAGATAAATCTTTTTATGTGAAATTAAGTCTGCATGACTTTTTTTTCTATACCTTCTTTAGTTACCAGCTTGATGACCTAAACACTTGTCCCAATGTTCCATGAGTTCAGATATCTAACCATAGATTTCTCAGATTTTCTTAGAATCACCGAAGAATATGCTACATGTATGGTCAGTTATTTATAATGCCCCCCTTACTTTTTCCTATCATTTTACCTAATGTTTATTTAATTATTCACTCAGTATCTGAAGTAAGAAGGGTACAGGATTATTTACTTTCTACCCTCACTACCAGCAGAACTACCATCAATTTCAAATAGCTTACTTTTATTTTTACAAAATACAGATTAATGAAAAAGTGAGATAACTAAAGTTATTCTTGAATATTATGTTTTTGAAAGATACCTTTGTCCCAATAAAAGGCATTGTGGATTACACATTTTAAGAAAGATTTGAATTCCTAGTTTTACTACTTGATGTTAGTTTTTACTTCTCACACCTGAAGAAAGAGAATGCTAATATTTTTATCACTGTCACTGTCCTTCCATTGTTCATCTGTTTGCTTGAGCGAGCCCCGTAACATCTCCATCTGAGACTTGTTACTGTGTTTGGCATATTGAATACATCACGGGGAGCTTGCCAGGCTTTGCCGTGCAGGCAAGAGACTCTTGGTAACTTGCCAGGATCTCGGAGAGGGGTGGAGGAATCGAACTCGGGCCGGCCATATTGGCAGCTTGCAAGGCAAATGGCCTACTGCTGTGCTATCACTCCAGCCCAATAGTCTTATCAAGGACTGGAGCAATAATACAGGGGTAGGGCATTTGCCTTGCACACAGCCAACCCGGGTTCAATTCCCAGTATCCCATATGCTCCGCCGAGCACCACCAGGAGTAATTCCTGAGTGCATGAGTCAGGAGTAACCTGTGCTCATCTCTGGGTATGATCAAAAAAGGAAAAAAAAAGTAAAGACAACTTTGAGAGAATGTAAAATATAGTTGTTTTGTGTTTCAATACTTATTGACTGATCTACTAAAACACAAACTCTCATACTAAAACTCAGAAACCCTCCTTCATTTATATTAGCTCAATTCAGAATACAACTGGTAAAAGAGGAATTGTTATGTCTAGTTCCACATATCTTCTGCAGGACAATGGGCAGGACACTGACTTGGAGACAACTATGCAAATTGGTGTTCAGGTCTGACCTTGTCTGGGCCGGGTGCTGTTCGTTTCTTTACCAACAAAATGGCATGTTGGATTTCAGAAGGGAGAACTTTGGGAACGACATATCCATCCTGTGGAATTTGGTATGTCGGCAGGTGGACATGGCTATGGGCAAAGCAATCATTGGTATGTAAACGTCACCATTAAAACTGATTATTGTTTTCTCTACATCACTAATCATCAGAGAGATGCAGATCAAAACAACAATTAGATATCATTTCACACCACAGAGACTGGCCCACATCCACAAGAACAAAAGCAACCGTTGCTTGCACGGATGTGGCGAGAAAGGTACCCTCCTTCACTGCTGGTGGGAATGCCGGCTGGTCCAACCCTTTTGGAAAACACTATGGACGATTCTCAAAAAATTAGAATTTGATCTCCCATTTGACCCAGCTATAGCACTCCTGGGAATATATCCCAGAGAGGCAAAAAAGTATAGTCTAAGTGACATCTGTAATTGTTTGTTCATTGCAGCACTCTTTACAATAGCCAGAATCTGGAAAAAAACTGAGTGCCCGAGAACAGATGACTGGTTAAAGAAACTTTGGTACGTCTGCACAATGGAGTACTATGTAGCTGTTAGAAGGGATGAAGTTATGAAATTTACATACAAGTGGTACTACATGGAAAGTATCATGTTAAGCGAAATGAGTAGGAAAGAGCGGGATAGACACAGAAAGATTGCATTCATCTGGGGAACATAAAGCAACAAAATGGGAGATTAACACCCAGATTAGTACCAGGAATTTTGCTCCATGACTTGGATGCCAGCCACATGTGCTAGGGGAAAAGGAAGCTCAGATAGAGAAGAGAGCACCAAATAAAGGGTGTTGTGAGGATGCTCCCAGGGTCGGAGAAGCATGCTGAAAGTAGACTATAGATCAAACATGATTGCCACTCAATGCCTCTCTTGCAAAACACAGTACCCAAAAGAAGAGAGAGAGAGAACAAAGGGGAATGCCCTGCCACAGAGGCAGGGGGTATGGGGGGGATGGGGGGTGGGAGGGATGCTGGGACCCGTGGTGGTGGAGGATGGACACTGGTGGAGGGATGGGTACTTGATCATTGTATAACTGAAACCCAAGCACAAAAATTTATAAGTCTATAACTGTACCTCATGGTGTTTCACTAATAAAAAAAGAAAAAAAGAAAAAAAAACTGATTATTGTTTTGACATTTGATTAGCTTTTGATCACCACTTTTGTTGATGTTAGTTCATATGATTTGTAGGGTCTTCTCAGAACTAAAATTTCTGCTAATTTTATGATACATTTTCATATAAAAATATTCTCCATAAACTTCAAGTGGCAAGGATTTGAAACACATCATCTATTTGAGATAATATAGATGGGTAGAAATATTACAGTTTAAAAAATAAGTCATTCAAATCAAATTTGAGTGTCTACTGATAATGAACAAAAAATAGTAAAGTGATAATATTTTTTAACTGAAAAGAATAATTTTGTCTCATATTCTTTCCAAAATGTTAATATTAGGATTCAATAAATAAAACAAACTTTAGAAACAGTCATTTAAAATCAGATCTGGTGGAACTGGGCCACCATTACTCCTGTGCCTACACCCCAGTAGTCCTCTCAGACCCTGAGCTGCCCAACCTCCCCGGGTGCCATCCTGCCCGCCCCCGCACCAGCCTCCTGCTCCTCTCCTAGTTTTCTCCCTCTCACAAGTTTGTGCCACCCGCCACCATCTGACATTCCACCCACATTGAGGCAGTGAGTGTGGCCTTTGCAGAAGTGGGTGTAGTCTCTTTGGGGACTACAGTTATTTTCTCTTTTCCTGGCACTCTGCATTCACATCTTCATTTCCATCACCTAAATCTGTGGAGAATGTCCTGAAAATCCCCAACACATTAGGCCAATAGTCTGGTAGTGTATTCCAATTGCACCATAATACTGGGGTCACAAGAAGTTCGACAAATCCAATATAAAAGAACACATCCCTGGAAGCATCACTAGCGACCTCACCTAAGCCGCTGAGGAGCAACGGAGAGAGAGGTGAAACTCTAGAAGGGGGAAAAGGTGAGCTCCATCAACCAAGCTCATCCACAATCCTTTCTCGCAACTAGAGGGGAATACTGATAGCAAACGGGAAGGTTCCACCACGATACTACTACAAAAACATGAAGAAACAACGAAAATCCCCACCATGAGTAGATGATGAAAAGGGTCCAGATGCCTCAACAAGCATTACTCACAAATATGATCTCTTCGATAAAAAATTCAGTGATAAAATGTTGAAGATGTTCAATGAACTCAAAGAAATGGTTCAACAGACATCCAGTAAATTAAAGGAGGATGTGAAAGAAACAATGGAATGGACAGTCAAAAAAATACAGGAAGAAATGAGAGCCGAAATACAAAAGCTACAAAAGGAAGTGTCATGAATAAAAGATTCTGTAGATGAAATTAAAAACTCAGTGGGTGCCCTCAATAGTAGAATGGCTAGAGCTGAAGAAAGAATCAGCAAGCTTGAAGATGAGCCACAGGAAAGTTTACAGAAAACAACAAGCAATGGGAAAAGACCTCAAAATAGCTATTAGGCGATTCAGAGACCTAGAAGATGATTTCAAGGAAAAAAAAACCACTAGAATCATCAGAGTACCAGAAGGACAGGGAGAAAATTCCAGTGAAAAAGCCACAGTTTAAAATATCATTGCTGGGCCTGGAGCAATAGCACAGCAGGTAGGGCATTTGCCTTGCATGCGGCCAACCCGCTGGAATCCCAGCATCCCATATGATCCCCTGAGCACCGCCGGGAGTAATTCCTGAGTGCAGAGCCAGGAGGAACCCCTGTGCATCTCTGGGTGTGAACCAATAAACAATATATATATATATACATATTTCATATTTCATTGCTGAAAAGTTCCCAAAGCTGGAGAATGAAGGCATCCAGATCCAAGGAGCCCAAAGAGTGCCAGCTAAAGGGACCCTAGTAAAAATACTCCAAGACATATCATAGTCAGAATGATGAATGCCATGGATAGAGACACGATACTACAAGCAGCAAGGTCAAAGAAAGAAATCACATACAAAGGAGCCCCCCCTTAGATTTACAGCAGACCTATCAGAGGAAACCCTCCAAGTGCTAAGACAATGGTGGGACATAATGAAAAAAACTCAATGAAATGAGCGCCTCACCAAGAATACTTTATCCGGCTAAACTTTCACCCAAACTTGAAGGAAAGATACACTATTTCATGGATAAACAACAGCTCAGGAACTTCATAGACTCAAAACCAAACTTAAAAGAAGGAATAAAGGGGAGACTGTAAGATAAGAAAAAAACCTACAAGCACAACAAATCCCTATAGAAAGATGACACAAAACCCCATGACAATAATCTCCCTCAATGTCAATGCTCTAAATGCACCAATTAAGAGACACAGAGTGGGAAAATGGATTCGGAAACTAAACCCAATATTCTGCTGCCTACAAGAAAAACATATGAACAGTCAGAGCAAACACAGAACAAAGTCAAAGGATGGAAAAACAATCCTGCAAGCAAACAACTCCCTCAAAAAAGCTGGAGTGGCTATACTAGTATCCGACAGCATAGATTTCAGGTTGAAAAAGATTAGAAGGAACAGGGAAGGCCATTTTTTTTACTAATCAAGGGATATGTTCAGCAGAAAGAAATCACACTCCTAAATGTGTACACACCTAATGAGACCCAACTAAATACTTAAGACAACTGCTAACCGATTTTAACAAGGACATTGCTAGCAACACAATAGTAGTTGGAGACTTCAACACTGCTCTATCATCTCTAGATAGGTCAACAAGATTAAAACTCAGCAAGGAAACACTGACTTGGAAGGAAGAGATAGAAGAGAGAGGCTAATATAGCTATATAGGGCTTTGCATCCCAAAAAGAAAGAATACACATTTTTTCCAGTGCACACTGAGCATTTTCCAAAAGGGAATATATCCCAGAGTTGCAAAAAAAGTGTAGGAAAAATGACACCCACACTTATATGATCATTACAGCACTGTTTACAATAGCCAAAATTTGGAAAAAAACCGAAGTGCCCAAGAACAGATGACTGGTTAAAGAAATTTTGGTACATCTACACAATGGAATACTATGCAGCGGTTAGAAAAGATGAAGTCATGAAATTTTCATATAGGTGGCTCAACATGGAAAGTATCATGTTAAATGAAATGAGTTAGAAAGAGAGGGACAGACATAGAAAGATTGCATTCATTTGTGGAATAGAAAGTAACAGAATGGGAGACTACCACTCAAGAACAGAACAGTAGAGATAAGTAGCAGGAGGATTACTTCACAGCTTAGAAACCGTTCTCTCATGCTGGGGGAAAAGGCAGCTCAGATAGAGAAGGGACCACCAAGAAGTAAAGGGTGCTAGGAGGGTCAGCTCTGGTTAAGAGATGCGGACTGAAAGTAGACTATAGACCGAACATGATGGCCATTTAATACCTCTGCTTCAAACCACAACACCCAAAAGGAGAGAGAGATCAAAAGAGAATGCCTTGTCAAAGAGGTGGGGTAGAGTAGAGGGGATGGGGTGGGAAGGATACTGGGACCACTGGTGGTGGAAAATGGGCACTGGTGGAGGGATGGGTAATCGACCATTGTATGACTGAAACACTAGCACAAAAGTTTGTAAGTCTGTAAGTATACCCCACGGTGATTCACTAATATATTTTTTTTAAAAAATCAGATCGGGAAATAACAAATATTTTATTTAACCATATATTTTTGTGCATTTTTAAATAATTCTACCTAATTTTCTTGTAAACAATGAAACCAATGTCTAAATAAGTAAGCTAATCTTTATTCTAAAAATTAAAACTGAGATAAAGTTCTCAGACTACAATGTGTACATAAAAGTTTATATTTTTACTCCAAAAATATAATCTGGTAGGAATCAAGAAAGTGTGTAATATCTTAGTTTTGTAAATCCTCTATTTAAAATAAAATAAAGAATATTATAAGAACCTAAAAATCTACTGAGATTCTGAAAATATCCATTAACGTTAATTTAGAACATCTTCATAAATATGATTATATTTATCCCACCAACTGGCCCCCTGGCGCCGTGTAATCCCATCAACGGCCAAAACTCAGAGACAATAAAAAAATCAGCTCCGGGAAGAGAACAGTGCAGTCTCCTGCCCCCGCGTCTGACTGTCCTCGCCGCCGGGGCCCCTTGGAGGGGAGCGGGTTGAGCTTTCCTCCCTGCCCCGACCAGGGCTCCAGCAGCCAAAGACCTCCAGGACCAGCTACCACCATGCTGAGACCACTCTCTGCACACATGAAGGTACTGGCAGAGGGACAAAGTCACGCGGGTTCCAGGGCCGAGATATCCAAGCCTAATAGGATTTGGGCCGAGCATCCTCCACCCAGATCCTCCAAATTCCAGTAGGCGGGGGTCACACCCACCACCTGGCCCCCTGGTGCCATGTAATCCCATCAACAACCAAAACTCAGAGACTGTAAAAACCAGCTCCCGGAACCGCGCGGCCGCATTCACGGCCGTGCGACATCCTATTATGACATCTTATTATCTCATTCCTACTTTGGACAAACTGGCAGGCTACTGAATGTAGCCTGCCCACACAGCAGAGTCTGGCAAACTCCCCGTGGCATACCCAATATGCCAAATACCAGCAACAATGATGGGTCTCATTCTCCTAAAGAGCCTTGAATATAATCTCAGGGCTAGGATGAAGGAGACGTTACTGAGGCCTGCTTGAGGCAATCGACAATTAACAGGATGATTTGTGATTTGTGATGGTAAAATTAAAATAGATGAAATATATGTTCTTTAAGATATATATATTTTTAATTTTTATTAGTGAAACACCATGAGGTATAGTTGTAGACTTACAAACTGTAAGAAACTTACAAAGAAACTTTGGTACATCTACACAATGGAGTACTATGTAGTTGTTAGAAAAGATGAAGTCATAAAATTTATATACAAGTGGTGCTACATAGAAAGTATAATCCCAAGTGAAATGAGTCAGTAGGAGAGGGAAAGAATAGAAAGATTGCATTCATCTGGGGAATATAAAGTAACAAAATACGAGACTAACACCCAAGAATAGCCGAGATAATTACAAGGAGGTTCACTCCATGGCTTGGAGGCCGCACATCCTAGGGGAAAAGATATATTTTTTTTACTTTACAGGAATGATAGAATTTAGTCTCTTTGGAATCCCTTATGTAAGTAATTCTACTTTCATATTTATAATTTAAAATATTAAAAATCAAAATAAAATTAAGTATCAGGATGTATTTTAGACTGGAGTGTATACCTGTGGTTTCTTCAACAATTCAGAGTATGAACTCTGTGCTCGCTGGATGCAAGTTGGAGCAATTTGTCTATTTTCACGAAACAACAACACAGAGTAAAACTAGAGTATGTAATTCCTGCATTCTCTTATATTTTTTCACCCTACTGCATTTAGAAGATTTTGAAGAGTCTAGATGAATAGTTCTAATCTATTTATATTTTCCTAAAGGCAAAGAAATTTGAGATGCTAATACCATTGCATGAAATAGGACTTATTAAAATAAAAATGTTGAAATATTTAAAAAACAAAATAATAATCATGAGTCTAAAATTATAGTACTCTGGCTAAGACACTTGTCTTGCATGTGGCTTACCTGGTTTGATCCCTGAAACCACTTAATTGGGTACACATGGGGAGATTGCCAGACTCTGCCGTATGAGCAGGTTACATTCAGTAGCCTGCCAGTTTGTCCAAAGTAAGAATAAGATAAGATGTCGCATGGCCACAAATGTGGCTGCAAATGCGCCTGTGCACTTCCAGGAGCTGGGTTTTATAGTCTCTGGGTCTTGGCCTTTGATAGGATTACACAGCACCAGGGGGCCAGTTGGTGGGTGTGACCCCTGCCTACTGGAATATGGAGGACCTGGGTGGAGGATGCTCAGCCCCGATCTGAGCAGCCTTGGAGATCTCAGCCCCGGGACCCGCATGCCTTTGTTCCTCTACTGGTACCTTCAAGTGTGTGGAGAGAGGTCTCAGCATGGTGGTGGCTGGTTCTGGAGGTCTTCGGCTGCTGGAACCCTGGTCAGGGTGGGGAGGGAAACTCAACCCGCTCCACTCCAAGGGGCCCCAGCGAGGACAGCCAGGCGCGGGGGCAGGAAACTAAACTTAAAAATAGGTAAGGTAAAGGTAAAGGCCCTCCCGTTGATCGTCGATTTGCTCGAGCGGGCCCAGTAACGTCTCCATTGGAGACTTTGTTGTTACTGTGTCTGGCATATCGAATACTCTCCGTAGCTTGCCGGGCTCTCCAAGAGGGGCGGAGGAATCGAACTCGGGTCGGCCATGTTGGCCGCTTGTAAGGCGAATGCCCTACCTGCTGTGCTATCGCTCCAGCCCAACTTAAAAAATATGATATTGTAAATTATATATCTCTGAAGCCTTAACCTCCGATGTATAATCAGTTCTGCTATTAGTTTGTGGCCTTATTATCACAGTAGTTTCTCTGAATTCAATAACCATAATTAAACAGTAAATGTTTAGAACTAAAGTTAACACTGATTGAAAATTCTTGAGTGTACATTAGTATATAATAATCTGTGTAATCCCCTTTCTCGGAGCTGTGTGAGCTCCTTTCTTTCCCAGGCTGTGTAAACACTTTTTACCCGGGTGTCACTAGGGGTGATCACACATTAACGGATGTCTGCGGGTTCTCCAGGTGAATTCTCTCTCTCTCGCCATCTGCATTTGGTGCTCTCAAACTCCTTCCACACCCAGGACACCCATCGTCTGGGGTGGGTAATGAGAAACGATGGCCAAGCTGGTATCCTCCTCCTACTGATCACTAGAGGACCCTGCATCTTCAATAGGCTGGTGGCGTTTGTAAGAGACCAGGTTAATTCTGTCCAGCTTCTTGTGCTGAGACAACGGTATGAGCAGCTTCACAGGGTAAACACCAAGGATGATCCCTCAGTCTGACAAAGAAAAGGGGGTAATGTCAGAGCGGGACCTGACAGACTCCATGACGGACTCCATTCCTGAAGTCCCTTTTGTTGCAATTTCCTGTCCCACATGTTGTTTTTCTAAATAGATTGTAGCGCGCAACTGAGCTTTCTTAGGAATGTGCTCCCCCCACCCCCACACACACCATCTGAAAAAGAGGGACATCTGGGCTGATAACTTGGCCTTGGTTCTCTGAATTGCGCCTTGGCCTTGGTTCTCAGAATTCTGCGCCTTGGCCTTGGTTCTCAGAATTGTGCTTCTTCCCCACAGCCATCTGGAGGGTAGGAATGTCCCGGCTGATTACTCGACCTTGGCCAATAACTCTAAGACTGCTATCTATTATCTATAGAAACCACTCAGACAGAAGCAGGGAGGTGAAAGAAGCACCAGAGTGGTCTGAGAAACAGAATAAGATGAAATATCTGTAATTGTTAATTATGCTGTTTGAAATTATACTGAAACTTACATTTTTACTCTTTTTTTTTGGACCTGTAAGTATTGGCTATGATGTAAGTAAAGACAATAAAACTTGTGGCTTTTCCTTTGTTCAGGGTCTTACTTTGGCCTGTGTGCCTGATAGCTTGACCCCAGCTAGCTGGCTTGAATAAATTCCGCTTGTGTTTTGCATTGGACTCTTTGTGTGGTTCCGAGAGGGAGATTATCAACCTCAGAATTTAACATTCCTTCCCCTCCCAGGATGGCCATTGCCTTGGGCAGATGAAGGAGGAACAATGGCCAAGCTGGTTGGTGATCTATTGCCATTTATTCCATCTCTCATTTCTCCCCAACCTCTCTCCATCACTTTCAGAACTCACCCCAACTCGCCCTAACTCTCTCCAATTCTCTGCCCAGATCTCTCTCCAACTCGCAACTCTCTCTCTCAGCTCTCTCCAACCCTCTCTGTAACTCACTCCACAATGCTCTCTCCAACCCTCACTCGCTAACTCTGCCTCGCTCTGTCCACAGCTCTCACTCTGCTTCTCTCCAACTCTCTACTTCTCTCTCACTCCTCTCCCAACTCCACCAGCCACCACTTTTTCCACCTCTTCTCTAATACACCTCCCAAACCACACCTCCCCTGGGTGCAAACAACATGTTTTTCAATCCTTCTTGACCCACTCGCAGCCCACAAAGGCAATACAGCACTTAAGGTGAGTTTCTCCTCTCCGTAGATCTGTACCTTAATTAACATCTTAATTTTACTTCCTAATATTTGTCATTCTGTAAGGACACAGTAATAGATACATGTAGGCTTGAAGGGCTACTCTCCTGGGAACATCTTTCTACAGACTCAGACTACAGTGCTCAGGCCAGATTAATCATGCCTAACACTATCAGGGTCTGAATCTAGTTATTACTTTTTGGATCATGACCGAATTTGTCCATGACCATGCTCTTAACTTATAGTTAACTATTATGGCACTTTGGCCAGGCCTATTTTGATGCCAGGGTAGCTCACTGCTTGCCCTGGGTCCATCGAGTCCCTCACTTGGAACTGATTTTGGGGATCTAGGAAGTGAGGGCAACTGAGGCTTAAGTTGAGAGAGTAGATGTCCAGGAGATTATAATTTCTGGAGTCAATTAACTCCCAAGTTGCAGGCTTGTCTTTTAACTGGCTTCCTGTGTCCATACAAAAATTAATTGCTCTGAAGTCACTAACTATGCAAAGGACATCAAGGAGACGAGAAAGACAATATTTACAAGTCAACATAGTCTGATCAGGAGACAAAGGTAGTTGACAGGTTGGGGAAGCAATCAACAAATACAAGCTCTCTGTGGCCAGGAGAAAGGGCAAACCAATGCTACCCCACAATAATCTAAGTAGATATCATTAATAACAATTTGTTTCAACTTGAATCACAGATAAATAAAATCCACCATGATGGCATAGAGGTATATTATTAAAATTTACTCAGCTTGTTCTTTAAAAGTTGGGAAAATTATAAATGATTGTTATTTTTGAAATGCAGGCATTCTCATTTGAACTTTTTTTTAAAGCAAAATATACTGCTATCAGGTTAAAATATAAAATCCTGCTCATCTCAGAAATTGCAAACAGATCGGTGAACTATACTGTTCTTGAGACTTTTTACACAGGTTTCTTTCTATTATCTTTTGTACTGTTCTTATTTACTTCTTAGTAATCTAAACCAAAATCATAGATCTTACATGTGACTTTTCTTCCAAAATCATGTCATATTTAAGCTAAAACATTCAAGATACTCCTGACGCTTTTTCTATTTTTTACTATAACTAAATTCTTATTAATTTCCTTTCTTTTTTTTTTCTAATTTTTGGGTCACATCCATGGGTACCAAGAGCTATTCTTGGCTCTGCATTCAATGCTCACTTCTGGCAGTGCTTAGGGGACCATGTCGGGTGTCAGGGGTTGAACAAATAGAAAACAGATTAGTCAAGGGCAAGGCAAACCACTGTAATATCTCTCCAGGCCCAGATCAACCAACAATCTCTTTATTTTTTATAAAGTTTTTCACAATAGTAGATTACATTTAGTATTTGAACACCACCATTACATTTCCCCCACCAAGGTATTTCAAATGTTTCCACTCTGTATCCCAAACCCTGCCCCCAAAGCAGGATCAAAACAATTTATTTTGTATTACCTGTTATGAATAAACTGCTAAAATTATCCAAAAAAGTTTCCTGAGAGGAAAGTTTGTGAAGCTTGTTGTACTTCACCCTGGAGCCGTTAAGCCCTTCTATAAGAGATCATTTAGCCATAATCTGGAAAAAATCCCAAGTGCCCGAGAGAACAGATGTTTGGTTAAAGAAACTTTGGAACATCTACACAATGGAATAATATGCAGCTGTTAGAAAAGACAAAGTCAGGAAATTTGCATACAAATTGTTCTACATGGAAAGTTTCATGCTAAGTGAAATGAGTCAGAAAGAGAGGGACATAGAAAGACTGCACTCATCTGGGGAATATAAAGTAACAGAATGAGAGACGAACACCCAAGAATAGTTGAGATAAGTACCAGGAGGTCTGCTCCACAGCTTGGAAGCCTGCAGCACATGCTGCGGGAAAGGGCAGCTCAGGTAGAGAAGGAAACACCAAGTAATGGGTGTCTGGTGGATTCGCTAGGCATGGGAGATGCATGCTGAAAGTAGATTATAAACAGAACATGACTTCCACTCAATGCCTCTTTTGCAAACCACAGCACCCAAAAGGAGAGAGAACAAAAGGGAATGCCCTGCGACAGAGGCAGGGCGGGTTCAGGGGGATAGGCGGGTGGGATCAGTGGTGGTGGAGAATGGGCAGTGGTGGAGGGATGGGTACTCGATCATTGTATAACTGAAACCCAAGCACGAAAGTTTGTAAGTCTACAACTGTACCTCATGGTGTTTCACTAATAAAAAATATATAAATAATTAATTAAG